ACTTCATCAATCAGTTCTTGTCCTCCTGCCCTCATATGGACTTTACAAATCCTTAAAATACCATGATCATCATTGGAGCATTGAAAACAATGTTTCATTGTTTTGGCTTGCATGTATTTAGCCCCTTAAGCTCTCAGTACACTCCGTACACAAGGCTTGAGCTGCACAGGTTGCACAAATAAATGAGCGAAGTAAGCGAAACTCAGATAGGTTAGCACCCCACTCTGTTAAATATAGCATTTTGCGCAAACAGCAATCCAAGGGCTGTTTTCCACACGATCTCGGAACTGGTATTTGATTTTCTGGAGAAATACAAAACAAAATCCACTTTGCAAGCAAATTAAAACCCAATTTATAGAATCCATACATTGGGGAAGCAGGCCAGTCAGCCCATTGATTCCACACCAACCCTCCAAAGAGCATCTCACCCATAAGACCATAAGACCATAAGACATAGTAGCAGAAATTAGGCCATTCAGCCCATCGAGTCTGTTCCGCCATTCAATCATGGCTGATAAGTTCCTCAACCCCATTCTCCTGCTTTCTCCCCATAACCCTTGATCCCCTGATAATCAAGAACCTATCTTTCTCTGTCTTAAATGTACTCAATGACCTGGCCTCCACAGCCTTCTGTGGCAGTGAATTCCACAGATTCACCACTCTCTGGCTGAAGAAGTTTCTCCTTATCTCCGTTCTAAAAGGTCTTCCCTTTACTCTAAGGCTGTGCCCTCGTGTCCTAGTCTCTCCTACCAATGGAAGCATCTTCCCAACATCCACTCTGTCCAGGCCATGCAGTATTCTGAACCTTTCAATTAGATCCCCCCTCATTCATCTAAGCTCAAATCAGAATTGTCCCAGAGTCCTCAAATGTTCCTTACATATTAAGCTTTCCATTCCTTGGATCATTCTTGTGAACCTCCTCTGAACCCACTCCAGGGCCAGTACATCCTTCCTGAGATATGGGGCCCAAAACTGCATTCAATACTCCAAATGTGGCCTGACCAGAGCTTTATAAAGCCTCAGTAGTACATCCCTGCTTTTATATTCAAGCCCTCTCAAAATAAATGCCAACATTACATTTGCCTTCCTGACTACTGACTCAACCTGCAAATTTACCTTGAGAGAATCCTGGACTCGAACTCCCAAGTCTCTTTGCACTTCAGACTTCTGAATTTTCTCCCCACTTAGAAAATAGTCCATGCTTTTATTCTTCTTACCAAAGTGCATGACCTCACACTTTCCCACGTTGTACTCCATCTGTCACTTCTTTGCCCACTCTGCCAACTTGTCCAAGTCCTTCTGCAGCCTCGTCACCTCCTCAATACTACCTGTCCCTCCACCTATCTTTGTATTGTCTGTAAACTTAGCCAGAATGCCCACAGTTCCTTCATCTAGATCATTAATGTATAAAGTGAAAAGTTGTGGTCCCAGTACTGACCCTTGCGGAACTCCACTTGTCACCGGCTGCCATCCTGAGAAAAACCCTTTTATCCCCACTCTCTGCTTTCTGCCAGACAGCCAATCTTCTATCTTGTAGTACCAAGCTAGTACCTTGCCTCTAACACCAGGGGCCCTTATCTTACTCAACAGCTTCCTGCGTGGCACCTTATCAAAGGCCTTCTTGAAGTCCAGGTAGATAACATCCATTGGCTCTCCTTGGTCTAACCTGCTCGTTACTTCCTCAAAGAATTCCAGCAGATTTGTCAGGCATGACCTCCCCTTGATGAAACCATGCTGACTTTGCCCTATTTTACTATACACTTCCAAATATTCAGCAATCTCATCATTTAAAATAGACTCCAAAATCTTACCCATGACTGATGTTAGGCTAATCAGCCTGTAATTTTCCATCTTTTGTCTTACTCCCTTTTTAAACTGAGGTGTCACGTTAGCCATTTTCCAGTCCTCTGGGACCCTCCCTGACTCTAGTGATTCCTGAAAGATCGATCACCACTAACGCTTCCACTATCTCTTCAGCTATCTCCTTCAGAACTCTGGGGTGTAGCATCTGGTCCACCTTCAGGCCAATCAGTTTTACTAGCACTTTCTTCTTGGTGATGGCCACCACACTCAGCTCTGCCCCCTGACTCTCTTGAATTTTTGGGATATTACTCGTGTCTTCCACCATGAAGACTGACACAAAGTAATTATTCAGTTCCTCAGCCATTTCCTTGTACCCCACTACCATCTCTCCAGTGTCATTTTCCAGTGGTCCAATGTCCACTTTTGCCTCTCTTTTGCCCTTTATATACCTAAAGAAACTCTTACAGTCTTCATTTATATTACTGGCTAGCATACCCTCATATCTAACCTTCTCCCTCCTTATTTCTTTTTTTGTTGCCCTCTGTTGGTCTTTGTCTTTTTGTTACAGAGATAGTAGGAACTGCCAATGCTGGATGTGTTGCCCTCTGTTACCCTATCCCTGTAATCCTGATTTCCCATAGCTAATCCACCTAGCTTGTACATCCCTACACACTATGAGCAATTTTAGCAATCCACCTAACGTGCACACCTTTGGACTGTGGGAGGATGCCCATGCAGACATGAGAAGAATGGGGAAACTTCACACAGATAGTCGCCTGAGGCTGGAATCGAGCCTGGGTCCCTGGCACTGTGAGGCAACAGTGCCATCCACTAAGCCACTGTGCTACTCAGTTGCTTCAGTGTTGCCCTTAATTGCTGAATTCAGTCAACGAAACACCACACAATGAACAAACATGGATCACATGTCAGAATTCAAAGTGTTTAATCACCTGACATTCCACAGCTGATGGACAAAAATGCGAACAGGAAATCTATCTCTCATACAACCCATAGAAACATCTACCTCTCATGCAAACATATGAAGCCTCCTCCACCATTCAATAAGATTGTGGCTTCTGATTTTAACTTCAGTTCTACATTCCTGCATAATCCCCAGTATCCTTCATCCCCTTAGTAATCAAGAATCTGTGTGCCTTAAACATTCTGCATCCACTGTCTTTTAAAGAAGGGGATTTCAAAAACACATAATCCTCTGAGAAAAAAACATTTCTCCTCTTCTCTGTCTGAAGTGGACAACTAATTATTTTGAAACAGTGACCCCTAGTTCTAGATTCTCCCAGAAGAGGAAACATCTTTTCCACATCAACACAATCAAATCCCTCAGGATTTTGTATATTTCAATTAAATCACCTCTGTGCCTTTCTCAATGACAATTCATTCTGTCCCTCATAATTTTAGCCAATAATTTTCTCATCACTGAGGTTAGACTGACCATCTATAATTACTCACCTATTTATTCTTCCTTTTTTAAAGCAATTTTAGGACATTAACAGTTCCCCAGCCCACCAGCACCACAGCTATAACACAGAGGTTTGGTAAATGATGGGTCAGAGCCACTATTTATTCATTTGCTTCTCTTAGTAACCTGGGATATATTTCTTTGGGTCTGGAAATTTACCAAAGATGCTTAGCACATCACTTTCACTATGTTTACTGATCCAATATTTCACAATCCTCCTCCGTACCTAAGATCATCCCACTGTTGTAATGGCACATGTGAAACATTTCCTTCCTGAACTACATTTGCAATTTAAATCATACCAGCATTTCCATTGCTGCTCCAGTCCTTCTGCAGTATTAACCTTTGATCAGAACTGGGACTGAAATTGGAGGACAGTTTTAAAGCAAGTACAGAACCAAATAAAAGATGGACGGCAAGAGCAGTGGGAAGAGAAAAGAACGAGAGAAAGCTCTCTGATAGCAGAGCCAGCAGGATTGTTTCAATGTCAACAGGAATGATGGTCTGAAGCAAAAAGGCGTAGGAATGAGATGAGCTAATGAAACAAAAACTGAGTCTGAAGCATGAATGTCCATAGCAGAATAGCACAGGATCATGCAATCAAAGAAGATCAAGACAGGAGAAAGCAGCTATGAAACACAGAAACACAGCAGTAGGCCAGTTGGCCCTTCCAAGCTGTTCCACCATTCAAAATGATTATGGCTGATCATCCAACTCAGTACCTGTTCCAGCTTTCTCCCCATACTCTTTGATGTCTTTAGCCCTAAGAACTATATCAAATTGTTCTTGGAAACATTCAATGTTTTGTTCTTATCTGCCCATGATTCTCTGGGTGAAGAGAAATCTCCTCATCTCAGTACTAAATGGCCTACCCCATATCCTTAGACTGTGACCCCTGGTTCTGACCCCCTGGTCATTAATAACATCCTTCTTGCAGTTACCCTGTCCTATCTTATTAGAGTTTTATAGGTTTCTATGAGATTCCCCCTCATTCTTCTAAATTCTAGTGAATATAGTCCTAAATGATCCAGCCTCTCTTCGTACGTCACTCCTGCCATCCCAGGAATCAGTCTGGTAAATATTTGTTGCACACCCTCTATAGCTAGAACATTCTGCATCAGATCAGGAGACCAAAACTGCACACAATACTCCAGATGTGGTCTCACTATGGCCCTGTAAAATTGCAGCAAGACATCCCTGCTCCTGTTCTTGAATCCTCTTGCTATAAAGGCCAACATACTGCTTGCTTTCTTCGCCACCTGCTGCACTGCGTGATTATTTTCAAGGACTGGAGAATACCCGTGTCATGTTGCACCTACTCCTTTCCCAATCTATCACCATTCAGATGGTGCCTTTTGTTTTGTTTTTGCTACCAAAGTGGATAACCTCACATTTATCCACATTATACTTCATCTGCCATGCATTCTCCCACACACTCACCCTGTCCAAAGCACAGTGAAGCATCTCTGCATTGCCTTCACAGCTCACCCTCCCACCCAGCTTTGCGTCATGTGGAAATCTGGAGATTTGGTTCCCTCATCCAATGGTTCAAACTGACAAAGCACTCTGAAATGGATGATGATTTGATCTTGCCAATTCTTATCCATAAACAATATATATATATATATATATATATATATAACATATGTACCATATGTTCTTGTAACACAGCAATCATGAAGCTTTTTTTTGCGTTTGGCAAGCATTCACAACTTACCAATAGAAGTGTTCTTCCATCATTTTTGTAATGGCTCTTGAGATAGCCCTTTCACTGGAATCCAGATGTTTATTTAGGTTTACTCCCAATTTTTCTTGAAGAAAATCAATAATGAACTCTGTTCCTGATACCTTTTGATGATTATATTCAATCCATGGCATCTTTCCTTGAGGAGAGAGTTTGCCATCAAAGTAATTCTAAAAGAAAACAAGGAAAGCATTTTAGGAATAGCATAAATTGCTACACACATATCTCTTCATATTAGCAGATTAGATAAAAGGAAATAATAATTTTACTCTTCCTAAAACATACTAGTGAATTACATTCACACTTGTCTAAACATATTTTCATGGGTCCACATCATCAAGTTGCTTGGAAAATCAATGCTAAACAAGTATTTGAAAGGACAGCAGGGTGGCTGGCATGGAAACGTAGGAGTTTATTCTGCAGAGATTGTCATTGTATATTGCATTGGCAGCAGGTAGTTCTGCTCATTGCCTGGAATTTGGGCAGCTGATTTACCATTTTGCACTATTGTTGGCGTAGGCTTCCTGCCAACAGAATGAATATGAAAATCAATCCGCTATAGCTTTACATCCTGTATCTATTCTTGAAGGTTTGATGCTGAAGTGTGTGGTAAAAATGGAAACTTTCGATATTTTATGACATCAATATTATGATAATTTGTGTAAACACCCATCCAATGTCAAGAACTTAAACTTGATCGAATATAGTTCTAACCTAGTCAATCCTGGCTACAGTTCAACTGTAGTTAGTCAATCACAGATGTACGGTCACCAAAAATACTGGTCACTGTGTATACCATTTGTTAATTGTCATATGTGCTGTGCCTGAAGGCAGGTCCTTGGCTCATCATCTGCTGCTGCTTCACCTTAGCTGTTTTCTTGCAGATTTTTGGCAGAGATAGCTTGCCATTACCTTCCACTCTCAGGCGCAGCCTGAGGAAGCAGGTCCTAAGTCTGCATCATTTGCAACAGTAATTGGATCTGCACTGTTGGCATTATACTGAACCATATACCAGCCATCCAGGCAGATAAGTCAACGAGCAGCATCATTTATTATTTAATCTTTACATACGTTATTCAATTTCCAAATGACTCTGGAATGAGATTGTTAAAGGAATTTCAGCCACAATTTTCCGAAGCACTCTACTACCGCATATCTTAGAGGTCAAAAATCACAACTGCAGTCCACGGGCATGATTCTACTGGTGAGAGTGTGAACACATGCACAGTGAGAGTCTGCTTGCAACTTGAGTAGATAGATCATGACAGCAATCAGCATGTAACATTATTTGACACCAGTACTGATATTTTGGAGCTCAAAATGCAAACAAACGCTCTTTTTCCAAACTCACAAATTAAGCACACCATGGCCTTCTTCTCCAGAAGAAGAATGAGAAGGAGGAGAAGGGTTCTCAGCAGGAGCACCTACCTGTCCAAGGTGTTCAGGGGGCAATCGCTCTAACTAAACATCATTGAGGAGCATTAGGGAAAACAATTTTGATTGCGCTGCGCTACTTCAAGCAACACTATATGAATTAAATTGGTTGCATGGGGCACGCATTCTCCACCTCTGCACACTTTTTTTCCAATGACATCAATTAAGAAACCAATTTGGGACATAGATTTAAAGCTGCTGGTGCAGTCTGTCTCTGGAGAATCAACATAAATTTGCACAACAATCTTTAAAGTAGGGCTGTGCAAACAAAATCATCAGCCAGTGTGTCAGACATATACACTTCAAAAGGACACCCTTACTGAAGTCTGCCATTTGTTCCAGCCACAATTCCAACTTCAGGGCTGTGAAGGTCACTCTGGCAATGAATTCTTAAGTGTTGGGTTCCCTTTAGACTGAACTTAGAGATACTTGCAACATCTTCCAATTTGTTGATCACCTTCTGTGGAACATGCCTATGCAGAGACAGGCACAATAGTTTTCACTGATGTCCATCCCCAAGATTTGCGATGTAGAAATCTGTGGTCTAAGTGGCTGGAGCCAGTGCTGAATCCATAGGGAGGTTTCTGTGGTGTAGTGGTAGAGTCCCCTCCTCAAAGTCAGGTGGACTACGTTCAAGTCCCACCTGTTCCAGAAGTATTTAATATCATCTCTGATTGGGAAATATCTAGAATCCATACAGCTGTATGTCTGACAAGGAATGCATTTTGGGAACATCATTTGAAACTGTATTGAGGCACCTCAGAATGGAAAATACTGTGTTGAGGGAAAAAAATTCTATTGCACTTTATGTAATTTCAATTTGAAATGACTTGTCCATGGGCTGTATGCTTGACATGGAATAAATATATAAAATATAAAATATTAGAAATATTACAATAGCATTGAGGAACTGCAGAGTACATGTCACATTGGTAGCAAGTTGAATTTCATTGCACTTCTGTAACTTTCAAGTCGAAATGTTTTGTAATACACATTTAAAGTATATTTTTGGAAAATAAAATCCAAGTTTGAATAAGGCAGGTGACTGAGGTTCTGCTTCCAAGGGGGTAGAACACATATTTGCCAGTAAACAGCAGGCAACAATGATACTTTTGAGTTTGCTCAGCTTCCACACGGTGGAGGACGCTACTGACTGCACACACATCATTCTGCAGGCACCTCCCATGTCGATTCTCAGGCACACAATAACTGAAAGGGATATCACTCCCCCACTGCAAACCAGCTTCTGCAGCTGTCCACAAAGCCAGCTGCATTTCAACCATCAAAACGTACCGAAAGGGGGCAATTAGAAGAGTGGGCTATCTATTGACGACATTATGACTCTAATACACAAAACTTAAGCATAGATGGGCAGCTGACATATAGTAAAACCAATGAATGGAATTTACCCAGCCCCACACTGGGGCGGGCTTAAAGGCAAGGAGCAGTGGGTAGTGAGGATATTAAGCAGAACAAGAGAGGGGAGTTGCTGTAAGGGACAATCCCCTGATTCATTATCACCAGTAGGGTAGTGTTCCAGAGATGGTTAGGAATGCAATCAGAAGTCCACAGTTAAAACAATTAATACCCTAATTAGGGGTGGTTTATCTTTATCCAGGCAAGTATTCCAATGCACTTCAAAATGTTGCCTTGTAGATGCAGAAACAGGTTTTTTGGGGAGTCAGTATTGAAGTTACTTGTCACAGGACTCCCAGCCTCTGGCTTCTTCTTGTATTTCTAGTATTTATGTAGCTGTTCCAGTCACCATTCTGGTCAGTGATAACAACCTCCCAGATGTCAATGACAGGGAAATTTAGTGACGACAATCCATTGAAAGTCAAGGAAAGGTGGTTTAAATCTTCCTTGCTTCCATCAACTTTTCAGGGAGAGAGAGTTCCAAAGACTCAAACACTCAGAAAGGGTGCTACCATCCTTAATGTATTCTGAGGAGGTACTTTATTGTTTTATTCAACTTTATGTTTAGTTGCTTTTAAATTAACCTTACCATCAGCTGCTGTACTTTGAACCTCAGGAATATAATGAACCTTCTTTGGTGCACTGGTAGTGTCTGTGCCCCCTTGGATCAGAGAGGCCTAGATTCAAGTCCTGCCTACTCCAGAGGTGTGTACTAACATCTCTGGACAGGGTGATGAGGAAAAATAGACTTTTTACAAAAAAACCTTCTTCGCTGTTTTGCTTCTTCCTCATTCATACTTCTTTTATATTTTCTAACCAACCTGTTCACAGATGTTATTACACACGTCAGCAGCAGGTGGGAATTGAACCCAGGGTTCCTGGGCTCAGAATTAGCCACATTGCCACCGCACTGCAAGAACCCTTTTTCTCATTCGTATTCTCAATTGATTCATTCAATATATATTACAAAGCAATCAATCAATCAGTGCTGAAATCTCTTCACAGGTTGGAACACTTACTCATTTGATCGCCTAAACAAGATTATTTGGTGGGGGGGGAAGGGGTTTGGTGGCACAGTGGTAGCATTCCTAACTCTGAGCCAGGAAACCCTGGTTCAAGTTCCACCCACTCCAAAGGTGTATAATAACATCTCTGAACAGACTGATTAGAAAATATATTCCAAACCAGATTATAGAGGGCTCTTATGACACAATGGTAGCATCCATACCTTATAGCTAGGAGACCTGGGTCAAGTCCCACCTGCTCCAGTGGTGTGTAATGACATATCTGAACAGGTCAATTACGAAAATATCCAAATCAGATTATCAGTGGAGTCAGACTGGCTCCTCATTTCCATAGGGCTTTCTACCCACAGCTTTCAGGACTTCTTGGCCTGTGATGACACTTTGGAATCCAAGCTCTGAAAGCAATGCACACACCAGGCCAGAACAATCATATTTATTTTAAGGGGGCAGAAAGACAGTTTGACTAATATTATCCATGACTGATTTCCAGTGTAACTCCATTCCCCTCACAGTACATGCAACTAACTTCTATTTTATCAATACCAGTTCTTGATACCTGCCTATCATTTAACGTTAGGAGATTGTGCTTTGAATGCTGCTGTTACGCATGTTTTTAACATTGCATTGGGTACCGGTGCTGGACAAGCCAGGTGCTGCTACTGTCACTGCTTTTCATGCAGGACCTGGGCAATTCTTACCCTTCTCTCTCTCCCAAGTCAGCTTCTCCCTTCTCCACAGGCTCAGGATATCTACCGTTTCCTTAATTCAGATACCGGAAACCGGGCTTGGGCAAGAGAATGTCCCAGTGATAAAGATATCCCACCAGGCCAAGGAAATTCACTGTGGACTTGTTCATTCTTGGCTGCTGGTGGCTTGCTGGATTTCCTGAAACCTTCTCATAGACTCCAAAGTGTCCTCAAACCTTAAGAACTCCTGATGTAAACGGTTCAGTAAATTAGTTTGTATATTTAGTCAGAAATAATATTTGTCATTTACAGCAGTGCTCACAATTTATGTGCCAGTTTTAATGGCCTTCACTGCAGCCTAAGAAAATTACACTGAATGATGTTAAAGTCAGCGCATGTGTAGATTTATGCTAACTTGAACTATACCAAGAAGTGGGAGGCACAGTGCTTGGAACTAAATGTCAATCCAAATAAAGTGCTGTAAAGTGTTTCTGAGTCTGGCAAGAAGCCCTTGTGAACTGCAATTTACTATGTTACTTCCAAAGCAAAGCAGAACGAGAATAGAAAAATGGAGCGGCTCAGGAAGAGTTGGATAAGGGCATTGAGAAT